CCATCGCCCGCCGCGTGCAGGACCCGCTGGCTGAGCTTGTAAAGATCGAGCCGAAGGCGATCGGTGTCGGCCAATACCAGCATGACGTCTCCCAGAAGCATTTGGACGAGAGTCTGAAGACCGTTGTCGAATCGGCCGTCAACCATGTCGGTGTCGACGTGAATACCGCTTCACCGTCGCTGCTGTCCTATGTGTCCGGCGTCAACGCGACGACCGCCAAAAACATCGTGAAATACCGCGATTCCAACGGTAAGTTTTTGAGCCGTAAAGAACTGCAGAACGTGCCGCGGCTGGGAGCCAAAACCTATGAGCAGTGCATCGGATTCATGCGCATCTCCGAGGGCGATAACCCCCTCGACCGCACGCCGATCCACCCGGAATCGTACAAGGTGGTGGACCGTCTGTTCCGCGAGCTCGGTGTCGGCATGGAGAAGCTGGGAACGCCTGAGCTGTCCGAGCTGCTGGGGCGTCAGGACGTGGAGAAGCTGGCGGAGGTGCTGGAAGTCGGCGCCGCTGCCTATTTTCCGGACGGACGTGCTGAAGATCGAGGATTTGACCCCAGGCATGGAGCTGCAGGGAACCGTACGCAACGTCATCGACTTCGGGGCCTTCGTGGACATCGGGATCAAAAGCGACGGTCTCGTCCACATTTCGCAGCTCAGCAGCGGCTATGTCAAGCATCCGATGGACGTGGTGTCCGTCGGCGATAACGTGACGGTATGGGTGCTGAACGTCGATTTGAAAAAAGGCCGTGTCGGCCTGACGATGCGCAATCCGCATCAGGGAGAATAACTTGATCGTAAGACTCAAGTGTACAAGATCGGAATTGAATCAGATCAGGATCTAACAAGATCGGTATATATGGAGTTCCGGCCAGCGTGACGTTTTTAGCGGGTTCATGATCGCTGCCGGACCTTTTCCCATAGCCCACCCGAAGAATGGAAAAAAATGTTTCCGGTCTTCGGGATTTTGGCGTGTTCGGGTTTAGGTTTGATTATGGTCATGCGGGGTGGCTTTTTTCCGTGCCCGGAATCGTCGAACCTTCATCAGATTCCCGCACATTTTGTCATCACAGTAGCGTTTGGAGCGGTTGCGGGTATCGTCATAATACACCCAGAGGCAGTCCGGATTGTCACAGATCCGGATTCTTGCCGTTTCGCCATTGGCGATCGTTTCGGCAAAAGACGCGGCGATCTCCGACATGACCTGCTGCCAGTCCCAGCGGACCGGTTTGTTCCCAGTAGACAAGCTGTCTTCGCTGTAGAACAGCTCCCGAATGACGGGGCCGGCGGACATGACCGCATTTAGCCTGCCGATCGCCTCGGCGTCAAGGGAAACGCCCTGGACGATGGAGGTGACCATGCCATGGATCAAGGAGCGGAGCTCTTTAAGCTGCTGCAGCTCGTGGGGGTTCGGTTCATCGAGTAACGGCAGCTGCTGCTCCTGCAGCCATGCCCGCAGCCATCCGGGCCGGTCCAACCGGTCCTCGGACTTGCCGCTGCCCCGCCAATCATGCCAGTCACTGTTCAAAAAATCATCCCAAAGCATACGTTATCCTTCCTTTCAGGTCCATTGTAACAACTAAATAATTATTTTGCTAGTTACTTGACCGGCAGAAATAGACTGTGTTAATTTATGGATGTAACTAATAAATTGATTTTAGTTCGTTACAAAAAACCGGACAGGGAGGATTTATACATGAGTCAAACTCAGGTGCTGCTGCAAAGATGGGATGAATGCTTTGGTCAGGAGGATTGGTATCCGCCGCTTGTACCGGCTTTGGAGGGCGTGACCGCTGAGGAAGCGGCATGGAAGCCGGAAGGGGAAGCCGTCAACTCGATCTGGGAGAACGTGAACCACCTGCTTTATTACAAAGAATATCACCTGAAGCGGATGCGCGGCGAAAACCCTGACTTCAAGGCGTCCAGCAACGATGAGACGTTCAGCAACCTCGAAGATGGAGACGAAGCTTGGCAGAAGACGGTCGATCGTCTCAAAAAGGCCCATGGCGAGATCCGAAGCTTCCTGTCCGGTTTGAGCGACAGCGAGCTGAACGCGCCGTTTCCGACCAGACCGCTCTCCAGCCTCATTCACAGCCTGATGATGCATGACGCCTACCATACGGGGCAGATTATTATGCTTCGGAAGCTGAAAGGAAGCTGGCTGGCTTCGAGAAGCTTTGAGTAGGTAACAAGAAGCATGCTGACTATAGAATCCGACAAAACCAAACGCAAAAAACAGGCGGGTACACGGTACCGGCCTGTTTGCATGGAGCGGGCTTCATTTCTAAATATTTATCGGGCGTCCGAGTTTTCTTCCGGGGCGTTTCGGTAGAAGAACCAGCATTCGTTGAGCAGTTTGATCTGGCGTCTGTCTTTTTTATGAAACGCCTTCCTCAGCTGATTACAGAGCCATTGCGGCAAGGGTGATCTCCTCCTCTTGCATTCCGTCTCTACGGTCAGCATATGGGGAGAACGCCCAAAGCGTGCAGGTCTCATTTGAATTTCCCGGGTTCTGCAAGGGACGGGATTGTATTTATATAAACGCATCCCATTATGCATTCCTTCACGTTTCTCTTCGCTGTGATCCCGGTTCAGTTCATGGCTATTTCCGTAATAACGCTGCGGCCGCCTAGCCCTCCGCTTCCTCCTCATACCACTGTTCCAGTTGGGCTTGAAGGGCACGGATTTCGGTCAGCAGGGCGATGAGGGGATAGCTCTGTTCATCAATCGAAGCAAAGGACTGCTCCAGTGCGTTGATGTAGGCAAGTCCGTCCTGAATTTGCAGATGTTCCTGCAGCAGATCCAGCTGGTCGCATTCCGCCACGGCGAGCGGCAGCTCGGGGACGACGGAGGCTGTCAATTTGTCTATTTCCTTATTGAGGCGCAGGTTCAGCGCGCTGAGCTGGTAAGCGTAATCGGCGGGCATTTCCACAAAAAAGAGGTCGGCATTTTTCTGTAAAATTACATATCTCATCTTCGGCATAAGGCGCAAAAATCTCCCTCCATAACATTCTACTTGTCAGTGTAGCGTATGGGGAAGTTATAATTCAAGAGAATGTTTCTTTCGGGACAACCGCCCCGAAGACCGTCAAATTCAGTCAGAGGAGGACCTCATGGACGTCATGAGCAATGAAGAGCTGCAAGCTTGGGTGGAGCGGATTTCGGAGGAAAGCTTCGGCCTGCCTTTCAGGCACCGGGCCACGTTCAACCGGAGATTATCCACGACAGGCGGGCGCTATTTTATGAAAAGCCACCATATCGAGATCAATCCCCACCAGCTGGAAGCGCACGGGCGGGAGGAAGTGGAAAAGATCATCAAGCATGAGCTGTGCCATTACCATCTGCACCTGACAGGGAGGGGGTACAAGCACCGGGATCCGGATTTTAAAATGCTGCTGCAGCAGGTCGGGGGAAGCCGTTACTGCCAGTCGCTGCCTTCGACGCGCGAGCGTAAGGTTCAGCCTTACCGGTACCAGCTGGTGTGCCGCCAGTGCGGGATGGTGTACCTACGCAAACGCAAGGTCGATCCCCGCCGTTACCGGTGCGGGAAATGCGCTGGAAATCTTCGCTTGAACAAGCTTGACTCCGCTACAAAATCATGATAAATTATTTGGTGTTACCATATAACAACGTTCCCTGATAGCTCAGTTGGTAGAGCACTCGACTGTTAATCGAGTTGTCACAGGTTCGAGTCCTGTTCGGGGAGCCATTTTCTTGGAGAGATACCCAAGTGGCTATAAGGGGACCCTCTGCTAAGGGGTTAGACTGCGTAAGCGGTGCGAGGGTTCGAATCCCTCTCTCTCCGTTTTGAAATACTTCGTAAGAAAGCTCCCACCGCCTTTGCGGCTGGGGGCTTTTTGGTGTAAAAGGGATGAGAACCCTCGAGGGAGGGGACGTCGGAGCATAAGCTTCGGGAGGATCGGCATCGTAGTCTCGAACGAAGTGAGAGTATCCCTCTCTCTCCGTTTTGAGATACTTCGTAAGAAAGCTCCCACCGCTTTTGCGGCTGGGGGCTTTTTGGTGTAAAGGGATGAGGACCCTCGGGGGAGGGTTCGTCGGAGCAACAAAACAACCCCCATCCATCATTGGACAGGGGGCTGCTTGGGCAAATCCTCCAAGCTTTATTTTTCGTCTTCGTACTCTTCCCGCATGCCTTCAATTGCTCTTTCGCGCTTGGCGTTTTTGTGCTGAAGGTTGTGTACTTCCTGACCGGAAATTTCCTCGGCGTGTTCGGCCAAATAATCGTTGGTTTCGTTAATGTTGTCCTGCGTGTTGATAATGGCGGTTTTGATCTTTTCCGCGTTATCAGAACGGTCGTCTGGTTTAGCCATTGATTTTGTCTCCTTGTCGTGTGTTGATGTCATTGACGAGTATAGGATGCCAAATAAGGGATGATTTTATGCCCGAGAATAGGAGAGAAATGGCAGCGACACTTTTTTAAAAAATATTATTAAAAGGGCTTGCCAACCTTTTTTGTTCTATGCTATACTCAGTCTTGTCGTCAAGAAAGTGATGTTACGATATGGCCCGTTGGTCAAGGGGTTAAGACACCTCCCTTTCACGGAGGTAACATGGGTTCGAATCCCATACGGGTCACCACTTTCATTGCTTGCAACAGGGATGAGAATCCAATTATGGGTTCGTCGAAGCCCTGCATCGTTAGGATCAGCTTCGCAGTCTCGAACGAAGTGAGAGTATCCCATACGGGTCACCACTTTCATTGCTTGCAGCAGAATAAGAATTCCAATATCTGTACCATCTATAGCTTATGGGCGCACAGGTTGTGGATCATCGAGAGCCATTAGCTCAGTTGGTAGAGCACCTGACTTTTAATCAGGGTGTCGAAGGTTCGAGTCCTTCATGGCTCACCAGTTTTTTTTGAATAGCAGTTCCCTTTAAACGTGCGGTAGTGGTGGAATGGCAGACACGCTATCTTGAGGGGGTAGTGGGCGTACGCCCGTGGAGGTTCGAGTCCTCTCTACCGCACCATAATTTGATTAATGACAATCCTTGCGAATGGGCAAGGATTTTTTTGTTATATCCGTATTCTGTATTATCGGACCTGGGATCGGGTTGCGTGGCAAGCGGGTTTCTGGAATACTGAGAGTAATATACTTTGCAAACGCTGTCAAAGGAGGGAAGCATCGTGAACATACTCGTATTATGCGACGATCAATGGCATCCGGCTGATGTAGTGAAGGGAGGCTTGGAGCCGCTTCGGACAGGCGGGTTCAATTTTCACTACATTTTGGAAACCGATGCTGAATGGCTGGACTCGCTGGAAAGGTTGCTTACGGAATATGATTTGCTGATCTTGGCAAAATCCAATCGGGTCTCCGCGGTAAAAGAGCAACCGTGGCTCACGGCCCAAACCGGCGGTCTGCTGCAGCGTTACGTCAGCGGGGGTGGCGGTCTGCTCGCTCTGCACTCCGGTACGGTGGGTTACCGGGACATAGAGGACGTGCGCGGACTGGTCGGCGGAGTCTTTCATCACCATCCGGAGCAGTGTCCGGTCACGGTCGAGCCTGTACAAGATACGGAGATTACCCGGGGAGTCCAGGCCTTCACGTTGCAAGACGAGCACTATTTTATGGATATGACTGACCTTAGTGACGTGAATATATTTATGGTGACCCGGTCGGAACATGGGGAGCAGCCGGGGGGATGGACCCGAACGGAAGGCGAGGGAAGGGTTTGCGTGCTGACACCCGGCCACAATTTGGCGGTTTGGCTGCATCCGGGCTACCAGCAGCTGCTGCGGCAAGCATTGACGTGGACTGCATCAGCGCCGAAAGGAGAATAAATCATGGACCAGGTTGTTTTGATTACGGAAGTTCACCGTCCGTGGGAATACGCACTAGTTCAGGAATTCGCCAAGAAGGGATGGCGCGTCATGGCGTGCAGTCCCGTTCCCGAAGAGGAATTTCAGGACGCTTTTGATACGGATAAAATACATATCTTCACGATGGATACAAGGTCCAGAGAATCGGTGCAGCAGGCAGTCCGGCGGATTCAGGAACATACCAGCCGGGTGGATCTGCTCGTTTGCGGAACGGCTTCCAGCCAGGGGAGGGAGGCAGCAGGAATCGCTCAAATGTCGGCGGATCTCGTATTGGAAGATTACCAGGCGAATACGCTAGGTCCGATTCGTGTCATCGAGGCGTGCCTGCCTCTGATGGATAACGGGCTGCGAAGAATCGCGCTGCTGTCCGATGTTCAGGGTAGTTTGGGGCTTGGACTTTCGGGGGCAGGGACAGGATATGCGATGTCCAAAGCTGCCCTGCATATGGCGTACACCATGCTGCATGGAGATCTGAGCGGCAAGGGGTTCACGTTCCGGCTGTTTGAGCCTGGATCGGAGCTTGAAACGGGGGCTTCGGCTGAAGCGGCGGCGGCTTATTTTACCGGGGCCCGGGAGGATGAAGAGCGGGTGGTTATGCTGGATTGGCGGGGACGGGAGATTCCTTTATAACTGGCTTTAAAAAGGAGGTGCTTACGGATGAGCAGGAGCAGAATCGCCGTTGTTACAGGCGCGGACCGGGGGTTGGGACTCGGCATCACAAAAAGGCTGCTGGAGCTGGGCTGGGACGTTTTTGCCGGGAGTTACCTGGCGGATTGGCCGGAACTGGCGGAACTTAAACAGAAAGAGCCGGAGCGGCTGCATGTCATTCCGCTGGACGTAGCCAGCGATGAGAGCGTTCAGGCGGCCAGCCGGGCGGTTGGGGACAAGACTGATCGGGTGGATGTGCTGATCAATAATGCGGGGATCGCCACGCGTTACCCCAGAACGATTCATGAAGAGCAGGTCGAGGAGGAACTGCTGCGAATTTACAACGTGAACGCGGTGGGGCCCATGCGGATGGCGCAGGCGTTTATGCCGCTGCTGAGAGCGGGGTCCGGAAAGCGCATGTGCTTCGTATCCTCGGAAGCGGGGAGCATCAACCGCAGCTTTCGCGATAACTGGTACGGTTACTGTATGTCCAAAACCGCGCTGAACCGGGGTGTTCAATGCCTGTTTGACGAACTCCGTCCCGAAGGCTTTACCTTTCGCCTGTACCATCCGGGCTGGGTCAGATCTTATATGTCGGGTGAGCTGAATACCGAAGGTGACCTGGATGCCGATGATGCGGCGCGCATGGCGGTGTCCTATTTTCTGCGGGATCGCTATGAAGGACCAGGGATTCAGGAGGAAGACCGACTGGTCATGAGGGACTGGCTGGGCAGGGAGTGGCCATGGTAGGAAGCTGATATGGAAAAAAGGAAAAAGCGCACCTTACGGCACGCTGAAAGGGTCGGACCTAATTGGGGTGTCCGCCCGGACAGGCAGCCGGGGGTGCGCTTTTTGAAAATGATTATTAGAAGGTACGCCGGTGGACGTTTTGCTTAAATGTCCTTAAGGCGTCGTCTGCGGTGCCACGCGGTGGTGAGTGTGCTGCTCAAAGCTGTACGCCAGCTTGATCAGCTCCGGTTCGCTGAAGGCTCTGCCGAAGAAATCGATGCCGACCGGCAGATGGTCGCTGGTGAAGCCGGCCGGTACGGTGACCGTCGGCCAGCCGGTAAAGGAGCTTAGTTTAAAGGCGTCGCCCGCCACCTGCTCCTGGCCGATTTTCACGGCTGTTTTGGAGGAGGTCGGGAAGATGAGGGCATCCAGATGGTTGTCCGCCATCATTTTGAGGACCGCTTCCTGAACGTATTTGGTGCGGAACAGGACGATGTCCTTGTACTCCTGGGCATCCAGCGATTCACGGTTGTTGCGGTCGATCAGGGCTTTTTCAATCGACGGGTCGTATTTGCCCGAAGCGATCAGCTCATCCAAAGACTTGTAAGGCGTAGCGTCGCCAAGGGACTTCAGGTAGTCGTTGAATTGGAACTTGAATTCCCAGGCGCTTAGGCTTCCATATTTATTGATGAGATCGAAGTTCGGAATTTTGACGTTGTCCACCAACGTCGCCCCGGCCGCTTTCATCTCTTCGATGGCCTGGGACACGACTGCGTTGACCTGGGCGTCGTCTCCGAATACTTCGCGGACGATGCCGATCCGTGCGCCTTTGAGGCCGTCCTTATCGAGATAATCTGTATAATCCTTCGGCACGAAGCCGACGCTCTTCGCGGTGGCGATGTCCTTCGGGTCATAGCCGGCCGTCGCGTTCAATATGAATGCGGCGTCTTCCACGGTACGGGCGATCGGACCTCCGGTATCCTGCGTCAGGGCAAGCGGAGCGATGCCGTAGCGGCTCGACAAGCCGACCGTTGGACGAATGCCGACCAGGCTGTTGAACGAGGAAGGAATCCGGATCGATCCGCCGGTGTCGGTACCCATGCCTACGGCTGCCAGATTCGCGGCTACCGCGGCTGCGGTTCCGCCGCTGGATCCGCCGGGCACGCGGGTCGGATCATAAGGATTCAGCGTCTGCCCACCCAATGAGCTGACGGTTGTATAGCCAAAAGCGAACTCATGCAGGTTAGCTTTGCCGATAATGATTGCCCCGGCATCGCGCAGCTCCTTGACTTGTGTGGCATCCTCCGGAGGGATGACATCCTTTAAGCCGATATTCCCGGAAGAGGTCGGCATGTCAGAAGTGTTGTAGTTGTCTTTGACGATCACCGGAATCCCGTGCAGCGGGCTGCGTTCCCCTTTGGCTGCGCGTTCGGCGTCCAGCTGCTTCGCGGTTTCCAGCGCTTTATCGTTCAAGGTGATGATGCTGTTCAGCTTCGGGCCCTGGTGATCGTACTTCGCGATCCGGTCCAAATACTGCTGGACAAGTTCCTCTGATGTCAGCCGGCCGGTTTCCATCGCCTTTTGCATCTCCGCAATGGTCGCTTCCGTCAGCTTGAACGGCTGCAAATATTGATACAGGCGGTAGATGATCGTGGCGGCTTCCCGGTGCGTCAGCGGCTTGCCGTATCCGAAAGCTTGGGAGGAGCTGCCCTGCATCAGGCCGGCGGTATAGACATTGGCGATGGCTTTGCTGTAAGGGCTGCCTCCGGCAATGTCTTGGTAGCCTGCGGAAGCGGCGTAAGGGACATGGATGACGGAATCCAGCAGTACGGCGGCCTTTTCGCGTGTCAATGCACCACTAATATTGGAAGCGGATGGGCTTACCGTCGTCCCGGCTTCTTCAGCTGCGAGTTTCATTGCTTCGGCAAACTCTGCGGCGGTAATCGGTTTGCTGCTGGCGGTAAGGGAGGTCAGAGATTTGGGCATCCAGCTCTGGGACAGTGCATCGGCCGTCTCACCGCTTAGAGCTGCTGCGGAAGCGGCTGGTGAGGCAGAGGCCAGCGTCGGGGTCAGCGATAAAGCGGAAACGATTAAAACCGTGAATAGATTGCTCTTAAAACTCTTCAAGTCGTTCTCCTCCAATACAGCGTTATGTATTCTGACTTTTTGGCGGAAGGAAGACATCGTTTGAAATTTCCGCGGGAGAAACTTCGCAGGATGGAGGACGAACCCGCAGAAACTGGGGATAAACGAATGCCTTCACTCCGTCATTGGAGTCTATTATATTGAAGAAGAGTTAACATGAATTGTAGAAAACGGAAGTCGTGTCAGGAAAGTTTACGCAATGATAACTAGATTACGATTTCCGCAGGAGCTGCACCATCCAGCGGGTTGGGCATTCGCTGCTGAATTTTTTGAACTCGTGGATAAAGTGGGCCTGGTCGTAATAGCCGTACTCTGAAATAATGTCGTTAAAAGCCGCCCGCGACGGATGCAGCAGTCTGCCCACGGCCGATTGATACCGGATGATTTGGCAGAACAGCTTGGGAGAGAGGCCAATGTATGACTCGAACAGGGAACGAAAACTCCGTGTTGAACAGTCCATGGCAGTAGAGAGCTCGGTTATGCTGATATTGCCGCAGGACTGAA